TTGGCTCTGGCCTGCCCATGGGTCTGCATAGTGGCGGAATCACCTGTGTATTAGTTGAGGTATACAAAAAAATGTTTTTCTTTACATTTTATAAAAGTTTAGTTCAGAGTTGATCTGCAGTGTACACACCAGAGCTGTTCAAAGTACTCAAAAAAAGTACTTGAAGTACCAAGTACAAAGTACTACTTGAAATAGTGTTCAAGTAAAGTACCAAGTACTTACTTTCAGCAAGAGTATTTCAAGTATCAAGTACTTTTCAGATGTACTTGAAGTACAAGCCAAGTACATTACTTCAAGTACTTACGAATACTTGAAGTACTGGAGGTATACTTCAAGTACTTACAAATACTTGAAGTACTGAAAATGCTTCAAGTACTTTCTAATTATTTGAAATACTGTAGAATTAGATAACTTTTCCTGTTTTTTTAAAAAAGCTTAATATATTTTAGAACTGAATTTTTTAATACTCAGAATTTAAGTATACAATAATACATATTTCGCCACATAAAAAATTACATAAGCATCAACTTAAATGCAGAATGGTAGCTCACTTATTAATAATACTATGTTATTTATAAACAATATTCTTTTGAAATACTTTTACATCTTTCTGTTGACACAATGCCTTCGACAAAATTAACGTCTATTTCTAATTTAAAATTTAAAATAAAATACATGACGGCGTTGTCTATGTATGCTTGCTATTAATTTATAACAAAAACATCGGCGCTGTATGGTATTTTCTCAGGCTTCTGTTGCCTTTTTTTAATATTTTGAATTTTGTTTCACCACCAAAACGTTCTGATTTTTTAATAAAGTTGTGTTAAAAATATATGAATTTTATGAACTGGTTCCGTGTTTAAGTTTGTGTGTAGTTTACAGCACCCTTAATCATTACCCATTGTGAAAGTGCACAGGGCCGGATTTGTGAAACTGAAATTTTTCAGAAAAAAATTTTAAGAGCAGTGTGATACATATACATGCTCGTGACATAAAAATGTTTAAGACACTATGTTGCATTTTCAAAAAAAACTTATGAATTTTTTAAATAAAAAATAAAATGCCTAAAACGAGAGTCCATTTTCAGCGAAAACTATAACTCTTGAAAAATATCAAGGTGATCAAAGTAATTAGTCGTTTTTTACTTTTGCGTTTACCAAAAATGCTGAGAATTTTCTTGGAATGAATGCTCCATATTCCTGAATATATCTGTCTACCACTTACGTATTTACTATTCTAAAAATTATTAAATTAACCTAAATACTACAGTGACTAAATAGTAAACACTAATCACTACAATGTTTGTCTAACCAAGTATGTAACTTTACACTAACAAATCACAAAAAATAGGTTCGTAATGCTGTTCCGTCCATTTATACAAAATTTTGTTCCTCTAATGCCACAATACTTTCAGAATTTTCCTTTACATTTTCGATTGGCTTATTTTTTATTTTTACCTGAAAACCCAAAGAAGATGACATTAGTAACTGATAACTACAATGACTTCAGAGAATGCCTAACAACGGCTTTTGCGAAAATTCAGGTAAATATGTACTAAATTTATTATTGTTAAAATATTTCGTAGGGGTGTATTTATCTAGGCAATTATACTAACTAATCGCGAATTTCATTAACTTTGTATTTTTTTTATAATGTGAATATGTATTTTGTTCCATTTACGGAAGCGGCCACTGACCCTTTTGGGTATCTTTACCTGATATTGTAAATACAAATGTATATTCAGTACTTCTGTAACCGTCCTGTATTTAAACATCGAAACCGAACGCTGTCTATTATTTCGCACACAACAAAACAAAGGTCCTTCGAGCAATATCAAAGTACAATTCTGTACTCATCAAAACCATACAATCATGGTCGTATCAACTGGATTACAAAAAACATTGGTACTACGAGCCGAGTTTCACAAAACATATTTCATTTTGAACAATATTGGGTTTATGTAATAAGCGATGCAATGTAATACGTAAAGTTGTTGTACGGTAATAAATAAAATCCGCACAGGAAAGACAAATGACACTAATTAGTGTGACTTTTAAAATCATTGTTTTTCTGCATTACGTCTTTTTAAATTGTTGGTGTTCAAATAATTCATACAATTTAACAGATTATTTGAAACTGTAATGTGAGAAAATATAAGTAGTAATAACAAACTAAGTTTATATGGCTGAGCCATGCATAAACAAAAAAAGAAAATTTGGTAAAAACGAGTGTCTAACATGATAAAGAAAATTAAACTCCAAAATATTTAACATAAAATTGTGTTTAAATTCTACGAGGAAGAGGCAAATATGAAAGTCTGTACCTGCCATCAGCTATTGCTATTATAATAAAAGGGATAATCCCCTGCCGAGTTCTCCGCCCTGACCAGGCTTCTTACTGACAAATACACGGCGGTGTTAAGAAACTAATGAAAGAATAAATATGTCTTTGAACGAGTACTGAATCATTTCTCAAATATTTTCAAATCCGACCTTGCACTTTAGCAGGTACGTCAACAAACCCGATTCCCTTTGGGGTACCGTGAAGGTACTGAAAAACTACCCGCAAAGTTAAGTTCCAGACCAAAATACAAAAAAGACAGAATTCATATATTCACAACTTTACATCGCTGAAAATTTTACACAGATCTCCGACCCTTCTTCTGTCGTCATCCACTCTCAAATGACATATTTATCACATTAATTTTTTTACCTACCTATCTATCGGCATTATGCAAGTACCTATGAAATGTACGTCATATTGTGGATAAGATATCCACAATCACAGATCAAAATATAACCTCACAGGAAACAAACACGATTTTACTATAAAAATACATCTAATCAAATAATTGAATTAATAACTTCAAGTATTTAACAGACCCTATTTTGAGATGTGAAAATTTCGTAAAATAGAGGCTAAAGTATTTGAAATTTCCACTTTCATACTTCAAGTAATTCAAGAATATTTAAAATACTGAGTGAAGTACTTGGAGTAAAGTACTTGGCAAAATCAAGTACTAAACTCAAGTACATTTTAGAAATACTCCAAGTACCAAGTACCAAGTACCTAAATATAAAAGTACTTCAAGTAAAGTACTTGAAGTACTTAAAGTACTTGAAGTATTACTTCAAGTACTTTTACTTGAAGTACTGAACAGCTCTGGTACACACACATACGTGAACATTTATATCACAGCAATTATGTATGTGTAGCCTTTTATGGAATACATTTAGGGAACACTTTTATGTACGTGACTCACACTGTCGAAGTTGGGATGCCATTCAAATTTTTTTATTTTATATTTTTATTAAGTTATATACATATAAATAAACATATATTGCAGTTATAAATAATTGTTTATATACCTACCCGAGTCTAATACAACATTAAAGTGGTATTTCTGAGCAAAATGTTTTTCCAAACCATTATTGGACTAACAGCAAAACCAACATTTTAATATAACATCTCATCTAACTCCATCAACAAGCATTTTTATAATCCCCATCCACATAATCCACATGAATCACTCAAAATGTAGTGGGCCACTCTTTTTTTTGTTCGATTGCACGATAACTGCAAATCTTCAGTTCGTGATACAACATCCCAGAAATAAAATATTTTTTAACTTTTTAAAAACAAATGTTATTACGGATTTCAGAAATAAATTACTGAGCTTATCACTACAGTATTAACCAAAATGGGAAAGAACAACTGGATGATGAGATATTTTTGTGACTCTAAACTGGTTTCTATTAAAAACAAAATACTCAATTCTAAGTTCCATTCACAATTTCAACGAATAACAGTGGACAGTTAAAAAACACTCCATAGTTTTTAAAGAATGTTTTCTTCTATTTTGCCTTCATTATACACAGTTTTAAAAATTTATTTTACTTTACTTTACACTGCTAATGTCCGTTGTTAACCCTGACCAATTTATACTAATTAGTTTAAACAAAACAATTTCGTTTTATCTAAATTAACACAGTTTAATTACATTACACTCATCCAATCACTGGATTCAATGAATGACACATGAATTCGAGGAAGTAATATATATTTTCAATAGTCATACATTAGATTTTGACAGCATTGTTATCGTTCACCCCACACTATAATAACCACTAACATTTTTGACATATCTTTAAATAACAAGTAACATTAATACTCTTCCTCGGAACAACATTTGGATACATGACATAAATTTAAAGAATGATTTAAAAATAAGTAAATATAAATTTTCATCATTTTGCAAAAAACTAGGAAGTCGCATATGACGTCATTGATGAATAATGATAATGTTCTGCGCCTTTACATTTTTGAAGCTGTGTGACCGAGGCTGCGAATGACTCAAGACTTTGGGTTGCGTGTTTGCCACTTCATGGCAAGATGATTTTTTTTTAACAATAAAATACTGCAACTCCGTATGACATCAAATCAGGTTTTTGTCACTGCGAACACTTAAAAATAAATGTATGTCTCTAATTTTTTGGCCTACAAAACAAGCAACAATTTATATGCATAAAATTTTAATTTTATATATAACATTAAATTTTAATGCCATACAACGTTAGCAACAGAATAGTCTAACAACGTGTTATCCCCTGGTGTAATTTGCATTCAATTCTAGTCTGACGTTGAAGAATAAAAAAGACCAATTAGTATTCTGGGTCGTCAACATTCTTGAACAAACTTTAAAACACTTAGAATAATACAATCGTTGTTCTTCCAACATGAAGTCTATTAACAAGAAAAATTCCACACATGACACATGAATTACACCGCCCAACCAATTCGGCCAACATGACAGCCTCGATCTTGACCTAAACAGTGGATTTAAAGCACCGCGTGTCCACTGCGTCGGTGTAAACCTGGCTTTTACCTGTTCTCGCAACTTTTCAACAGTTTGAAACTTCCGCGAAACGCATTTTCCAAACAAATGACACCGAAATTCCTTCGCCTAGATAATTAAACATACGAAAATGCGCAATAATTACCTGTTATCTTAGGTTATCCGGTGGATTTCGGGAAAACAGCACTTACAAACACAAACATTTATTTAATCACCGAAGGCCCCTCGACGGTTTCGAAAAACACTCGACGCACTACACTGATCACTCACACTCGGTTAACTGGTTACATGATGTTCACACACTTTTTTTTACACGTGACGGCACTTTTACAAGAGTTTTACTGAGGAATGCTGAAAAAATTCACGACAAAACGGTACCTACACACACCTCAAGCGCGTCCTCGCTACTCGCAGTCACACACTTGACAAGGTAGACTGCGAACTTTTCTACTGCGCATTGTTTGCGCGCATAAATGAAATACATTCAACTTTCTAGGATTCGAACTTGGTTTGCGATTCACCGTGAATTTTTTAATTACTGATTTATGACTGTCGTTGCTTTTATTTTGATGATAATTCACAACTAGTATAGACTTAATTTTGTTCTATCTAGTATATCCAATATTCAAAGCGAGTGATAGTGATATTCATCAGTGGTGGTACTAGAAAGGTGCAAGGGGGACACCAATAACACCGAGAGATGTTAGTGAATAAAAAACATTTGTTTTCATTTTTTAAAACAAGTTTTTTTGTTTTATTTTTTTTTAATTACCTTTTTCGCATGTTTAATGTGACTGATGTTGGTTTTTGTTAGAAAGAGCAGAAATTTTGAAATTCTAGAACAGCATACAAATTAATTAAATATAAATAAATTTATTTTTTATAAATTCCTTTAATGAATAAATAATATTACTAATTCCATTCAGACAACTAAAGCATAAAATATAAATATAAAATCGTACCATACAACATATCAGCAAAATTAGTTGTTCTAATTTGTATTCAGTCCCGCGTAAAAATTTAAACTAGTAAGAGGCAACAAATGTACAGGGCCAGACAAAAGATAGTAGGTTAAATTGTGGGAAATTTGAAATTCTCAATACTTTGTAAAAACATATTTTGTCGTATCATATCTTCGTAATTATAATTAAATTATTTTACCAACGTATAATGCAACACTATTATGATGGTACAAAATATATTTTTACTGCTTCAAAAAACAATAATAAAAACACACTTAATTTTTGCTTTGGTAAATTTAATGGCAAACCTACATTGCTATAAAACATATGTACATTTATGAAAATATTTATTGTTGATATAACTGCAAACCATTAATTACCTATTACCTATATAAAAAGTTATTTATGCTATCTAATGCATACTCATCAAAAAATAAATGGAGTTACAAAATTTCACTTTTTCAAAGGATCAGTTTATAAAGCAATGTATGTAAGAATTTGAAAATAGTTTAGCAATATAATTAAAACGGCATCATGACCAATATTTCATCGGTCAGGTATATCGAAGCATGAAATTATTTTAATAGTGAATTAAACATTAATTTATTAATTGTGTTTTTGTAAACTGTGGTATGCCACCACAGTGCTGCCCACAGCAGCAACAATACATTCTGCGATTGATATCCTAAAACTGGGACTTGCATGGTGTGTTTAAGGAAATTGTTACGGAGGCACTTGATAAGGTGAGGAGGATCGAACATGCAAAAGATGCGTTTCCCTTTATGCAAGAAGAAAAGTAGGGACTCCGTTGCACCCATACTTAATGCAGGTTACCACGTTCAGACCATGGTTACTACTTACTACAAGTGTCTAGAACATCTAACAAAATGAGTTGCAACTAGAGATGTACCGACTGTAGATCTGGCCGACTAACCGACTAGCCGATTGTTCGGCCAGTAAAAACTGACTAGTCGGCCGACTGTTCGCCTTTGCTAAAACCGGTTTCTAAATGCGACACACAGTGTGTTTTTTTTTCCTATTTCTCTGACTACCTTAAAAATTTGTTTTATTTTAATAAAATGAATAACTAAAGTTCCTTTTTTTTTCCAAAAAATGTGTTAAATTTGTTTGGATAATTTTAACATTTAATTTTTTTTAGTAACTCAGTACAAAAATAAAGAATAACACAATTTAGGGCCAGTTTATACAATATTTTAACTGAGATTAAGTTGATCGCACATTTAACAAGGTCATTAGCGACGTCTGATTGGCGTAGAGTCGGTCACATGGTATTTCATCGCGGGGTTAAAAATTAAATCGCAATTAAATATTTAATTGAGGTTCTGTAAACCGGGTTTAATTGTTTTTTATACTATTTTAATTTTAATAAAAAAAGCCGACCAATCGGCTGTTTAGCCGACTAGTCGCCGACTGCAGCCGACGATGAAGAATGGCCGAATAGTCGGCTTATCCGACCGGTCGGCCACTAGTCGGTACATTCCTAGTTGCAACTTATCCGAAGAAACAGGACCATGTGAAAAATAGAAAGCCAACGGTTGTTTCCATTTACCTCCAGGGCATCATGATCTGCAATCTTTGCAGAGTTACCGTGGCGTCCTAAGTTCCCCAATCCGACAAAACAGTCACCACTTCGATCGTACTCTAAATATTCTAGAATACTCATTTCGTCGAACATTAGAGTACAAAAGGAATCTTTTGGGGAACGACCTGCGGGACTGATTGGAAGTGTTGGAATAAATTAAGATTAATTCCCTGTTTAAATGAAAAACGCGAAAGAAGGGCAGTTAGAGAACTGCGACTAGGTAAAGCAAGAAAGCGGCGCATACGAGCATACGTTTCAATAAAAGAAAAGCGAAAAGTTTGTCCTCCAGAGACCATCGACGAGCACGAGTTGGTTGTTTAGACCAGCGAACTTGGCCAACTAAAAAATTGACAACAACGGATGATAATGGACACACTTGCCGCAATTGTTTTCCACGTTGTTTACATATTTTTTTAACTAAAACTGCTTTTCTGTTTGTCTAAATATAGATCTCAATTTCTTTTCGCGTCGACTACACCTTTTCCACGAGAAATTGAGATCATCTTTCTTAAACAAAGATCTACTGACTCGTTAGTAGAAAAAATAGTGGAATTTTGAAGAAAATTAATAGAAGAACAAGAAGAAGTAGGCTTTTCATGCGAAGAAAACAACATATACAGCACATGTATCATATATTAGACAAGCATTTCCTTTTGATGTCGATGGAACTGGAATGAATGGATCAGTGGAGGGAACCTTAGTTGGCGTTGAAAAGTGTATGTCTTCATTTGCAACCTGAAACAAAGTGAGTTAATAATTATTACATTCAAAGAAATTATCAGTTTGTACCATTAACGGTTCTACCAGAAGAACTGGTGGTAGCACAGTGGGTGGTTGTAACACATTATCTTGAAAGATCTTCGGGAACAATTCCCTTTAGTGGTTATAGCCTTCTTAACAGCCCTTAATAGGTACGTAACTATTAATTGCTTTAAAATAAATCAAAAATTAGTAAAAATAAGTACATTTTAGATACAATTTAACGCACCCATAGGTAAATCGATTACTCATACCATGGTAGAAGGAGACATGGTATAGGCATCCGATGTACCAATTTAAAAATGGTCTGCGCATCCATTTGTGACGTTAGGTGGCATCAACGACCTTGTGACTCTTGTGAGCTTCGCTAGGGAAGTCTAGGGAATTTCAGCTTGAGTTGTCATTGCTCTGTCCAATTAGCCAATAACACGTGACGTCATGTTGTGGCGGGAACTCAGCGTTTGACAAGCGCCGTGAAAGTCCATAAGCGACAATGTTAACATTTTCGCATTTTATTTAAAAGTGTGGGTATTTATTTAGAAAATAAACACGTGAATAGCTTCTTTCATATCTTTTCTGTGTATCAGGGTGCTTTTTTTGGCGATTTGAGTTTAGAAATACATAATAAAAATAAAAATACAGAACACTGTTTTGGTCTGAATTCCTCGTCATCCAAAATACATCCGTGTATTTTAAGCGGGAAATTGGAAATTAATATTTTCGTTTGAGGTTACTGTGACGGGTTTAAGTGAAGGTGTGTGATTTGTTTTTAAAGTATGGATAATTTAAGTGATTATGCACCATGTCTTTCCGTCAAAGACAAAAACAGATATGTACAAAAGTTAAACAATTTAAACGGCGTAGATCCTTATACAATGAGTGCAAGTGATTTTAGTTTGTGTTTAGACGATGTACCTACCATAACAATGAATACCATTCTAAACTTTTTTATTTTTAGAGTAAGTAAAATAACCCACAATAAAACTCGTGCCTTCAAAAGTTTAGAGACATTTATTCAATTTTCTCTTTTTTAAACAACTGTGTCTTTCAACATTACAAGTATTATGAGTGGATTTATTTTGATACCCTAAATTTTGTGATGGAACATAATCAGGATGGTCCAGCTGCAGGTTTACCTAAAAGAGCACTAATGTAGTAATTTGTTAGAAACTGTAAATCTAATAGGTAGGTACTGTACCTAAAATAAAATGATCCGAACAAACATAGGAATACTTTACTTTGGCTTCGTTAAATCCACTCGTTTCAAGGCTTTTAACCAAAGCTTCCGCCTTTTTCCCCATCCTGTATATATTTACCATTATTGTTGCTAATTGCTGCGAAAGGAATATAAAATTTATCCGCATTTCTGGTGCTTCGATTTGCGCAACCCTCAACAGCACAAAATTTAGGCATTTTCACCTAAAATACAAAATATTATAATATTAAGATGCTAGTGTATTTAAAAAACATTGATGTACATTAACAAAGAATTAATTTGCAAAACAAATAATACATATAAGATGCAGCGAAGTTAACCTGTACATCACATTGGAAAACATTATTTTTTAAGCATATTCAAACGTTATGGTGCGTTTTACAGATATCTACACAGTCTAGAAACTGTAACAAACTTACCAAGCTATAAAAACACAGTTGACACACTCTCAAATTTAAATGAATTCCGAAAATATTAGCATTGACTCTTATGAGAAAACCGGCTACTTGTCAAACGCTGCCATCTTGATGACCTCGGATGACGTCAGTGTATTTGGCTAATACGTCAATTAGTTGTCGGATAACGAAAGTTTGTATTTTAAATTTCGCGCTAATTTCACCCCACTTGACGTCTCCTTCTACCATGACCACGGTTGTAGAATAGATAGGTTGATACACTAGCATACATTTGCATATCCCTGGTCAGCGACGCCAATTGTCGATCGCGTCGCCTGGTTTTTGACGTTTTAGGGACACAGAACTCTAGAGGCATCTGTCTATAACCGATGTAATTAATAAAAGAAATCGTACTTATCGACTCCGATCAAATGTCATTTACAAATTTTGTATTGTTCATAAAGCAATGTAAACGAAAATC